TAATGAAGTTGAGTTAATTGTCAATCAATTGTCTTGGGAGAAAACTCTGTTGTACACAAAACCTCCATCAGACCCTTAACTGTGACCTCAGCGATATTAAGATCTCTTCCCAGGGGACATATACAAGATGTTTTTCATTGCTCAAGAAGTAAAAGCCTTCAAGTTCTGTGTCTGAATGCAGTTGTGAAGAGACAGATGTGTGTCTTAGCTCAGTACATTTACCCTATGTTAGTACAAACCAATAATGCTTTTCAGTTTAGCTTTTGACAGGCAGCAATAGCTGTATCAGTAGCAGGCAAACTGCAATAGTTCATTCCCATGTTTCAGGGGAGCAAAGAAAAGAATTCATTTTGTTCCTGATCTTACCAGCTGCTTCAGAGACTTTTATCAATTTATAGTCCAGAAACTCACTGATATTCAAAAGAAAAGTATGGGACATGCACAATTCTGTTCTCTGCAAAAGTCATTTTGCTTTCTTTTGCTTTATACATCAGTGATGGCTGACTATGGGTGTGACATTCCACCTGATGCTTGGAAAAAAAATCTCATTTTCCTAAACTGGCCCAATACTCCGAATATTCAGCTTGGCTACAATAGCATAGTGGCTCAGATCCACAGGCAGGACAGCAATGTCCGTTTTGCCCCTTTAGGTCTCATTTAATAGAAAGGAGAATTGGGGATTTCATCAGCTTTTTATAAGGGCAGTGCATGTCTGCAGGGCAGTAGTTGACAGCAAAAGGCTTTGAGTCTATGACCAGCTCTGTACTACTTGTAACATTACAAAATACAAACAAGAGAAATAAAATGAACAGCATTTATCAGGTAATTTGCATACTGATTTGCAGTAGCTTTGATTATTTGCTTCTTATATTCTCATTCTCAGCACAGTAAAAGTACCACAAAGACTGGCAAAGTTCCTGCAGATTGTTTGAATGATAATTTGTAAATTATGCTCCTAACTTCAAAGACTTAAGCAGGGTGGAATAGGATTGCACTTAGGCAGAGGTGTAACTGGACAGTTTAGTGCCCTAGGCAGCACTGACATAAGGAGCAGCATTTGTTACTGTGCTACCAGCAAGTGGTATTCGGGCTGGCAGTACACCTACTACTATTTTTGCCCTCCCTTTCCCCCAGTTCCCCTACCTTCCTGTCAGGCCAGGCCTCTCTTGGTCTCCTATCTGGTTCCATGTAAACCAGTACAGCCTGTTCCATGGTCAGGCTGTCGGTGACTAAACCGGCACCCCCATCTGGGCTAACCTGGGTGAGGAGAGTGTGTGGACACCTAGAACTAAAAACAAGACCTGTCAAAGGGCAGATGAGCTCCCTGTGAACCAACAGCTATCCATACCTGGAAAGGAGATGGGCGCCGCCAGGTCCTTTTTCCCCAAAGGATCACTAATGATGCAAAGTAGCTCAACTAACCTCGTACCAAATAGGTCAAGGCCTGGGTATAGAGGAGGTTTATTACAGCATCTAAGATGCCCCAGTGGCCACAGCAGCCTCAGAACCTACTTGACTCGACTTTCCTCCCCAGAGTCAGTATCCACTGGTGGTACCACCCTTTCACCCTCCCCCCCTTTCTTACACTATTGCACTTAAGAGGTGAATAGGATGTGACCATAAACCTCTACAGCTGCACTGTAACCTTGCCAGCAACCTAAGCAGCTGCTCAGAAATCTATAGAGCAGATTCTCAACAAGGGTGCTGAAGCACCCTGGAGTGCTTTGAGATGCTTTCAAGGATGCCAGAGCACTGCATACAATGTTTTAGCACTGTTAGGTGTGCAAATATGATTCACAGGAGAAACCCAAAGATTTTCAATAGGAATACAGTGCTAAATACATTCTGACCTGTTGCAATCTTTCTGGCTTGTGCTCTTTCTGAGTTCTTTGCAACTGAAACAAATCTTCTATTATTTTCCCATAGACAAAATAGAGTTAACAATAAGAGCTGGCCTTGAGTCTAAAAAGGTTGAGAACAAGCTGTGTTTCCCTTGAATTGGGTTTGTCAGCCACAGATTCATCAGACATCTGACTAGACCTCTTATGTGTACACCTTGATCCAGAGGATCAACAGTTGACTACTACAATAGAATAACATGGGAAGGAGAGTAGTTTCGTGGCTAAAGCATAACATTGGGAGACATGAAATGCACGTGTTCTTTCTGACTGTATCACTGATTTTGTGAACTTGGGCAAATCCACTGCCTGTTCTCTGTGCCTCAGTTTCCCTGTCTGTAAAATGGGGTTGACATTTTCTGCTGCACAGGGAAGTTGTGAGGATTAAAGTTAGTGAAGAGACACTAAACTCTGAAATGGGGCTGAATCTATAATCATTATTATGGATAAAATGAGATTTATAAAGATAAAAAGCTTTATTACATGTATATGCTCCTAGAAGTACCAGTTGCCATATTGTTTTGATCATGCTAAGCTCATAGTGTGCTTGTTCGGTCTTGCATTTTTATTTTCTTCTCTCCATCTGGCCTATCAGAGCTTACAATGAAGACATTGCCAAGTGCCTCTTGTGGCTGTGCGTGCAGTGATGCTCTTCACTGCACCCAGCAGGGTGCTGCCTTTTGCATGCCCAGCACCTGTGACCTGCAAGGCTCAACAGTGTAAACAAAAGAGAGACAGAATGCCAGTATGATCAGCGATCAGAGCCTGTTTCGGGGAGAAAACCTGTAGATCGCATGGTACCTCGCATTCCAATTACTGCTTTATCTCCTGATCCCTGTGCAATTAACTCCTGTCACCAAGCCTTGCCAGTGTTAGACATGCATGGAATGTGAAGTATTCTCCTTACAGAGGTGTCATAAAGCTCATTGTTTTCTTATGATGTGTTCTTTATATTTAAATAATTCTATGCTTGGGTGATAATCCCATTGGAAAGGGGACTGATTTCTGTGAAGTTTTATCCATTGATCTGGGATGTAGAGGAGCAGGCAGTACTTATGACAATGACCTCCAGATTTGACTACAAAGAAACTCTTAAAGTTTTAACAGGAAAGCCGCTAGACAGAAAAAACCAAGGCCAGCCAATGGATAAGGCCTTTTAGATTTCCCTGCAAGCTCATCCAGGGTCCCTGAAAGTACTCCTAACTACCGCGGCTGGCAGTTCCTTCTCTCAAACCAAGCTCCAGTCTGTGATCTCCTCTGTTTCTGTTTCTCAGGATCACAATGACAGGTTTATTTTTCTTAGAGGACCACTAAATGACTATTACCAGTTTAACCAGCTCCTAGTGCCCAGTTTTAATTGCAAGAAAGTTTATTTTGGAGAAAAAAAATCATCCAAATAAAAGACTCTTACCCTAGCATTGCTAATTCTTCTAATTGCAGGTCTAGCAATATTTGAAGCTTTCATTAAAGCTCCAGTTTCTAGGACCATGTAGTTAGGTGAGAATCTTACTCTTTCTTTTTAAATACAATAAAAAAATTAAGTTTCTAGCCCTCAGGGTTGAGAAAGAAAGCTGGAAAAGTGACCTGTACATGTCCTGTAGACTCAAAAGCCTATATAGAAACTGGCAGACAAGGTTCTTTGGGTAAAGCCAATATCTTTCATTAGACCAACTCAAATAGTTATTTGAGTTGGCCTAATGAAAGATATCAGCTTTAACCAAAGAACCTTGTCTGCCTATGTCCTTAGACCAACACAGCTACAACCTACACCCCTGAAACGTATATAGAAACTGTAAATTGTTCACATTGGTTATTTTTAGGCAATATCATGATTTTGGGGGGTCCAGAACATGAAGCTCAAGTACTTGGGGATGACAATTACAGACCCTAAACTGCCTAGGACTAATATTGCCCCCCCCAAAAAAAAACCCTCTAAAAAGCTCTTTCAAGTACATAGATGCTCCTCCTGGAGCGTAGTTGAACATTTGTTGAGAAAACACCCTGAAACTGAGTACAAGAAAACCATTCAGTGTGAAAATTAAGCTTTTAACACTTCCAAAACACCCACAGAGACAACCAGCCATTTGCTCCTTGGAGGTGAAAATTCAAGATGGCATTCAGAAAAGGCTCTGATATGCTTTTAAAATGTCTATAAGGCACCTGCTCATTATCTACATCCAAGCAGTTGTAGATAACACTTCAGAAATGGCATTTTGCAACTCTGATACAATTGGATGACTACTGTTTATTTCACTGTTATGAGGTACCATAATAGCTGAACAATATAGCCTCTCTTTACATCTCATTCATAGCTGGGAAAAGTTTTTCTGTTGCCTGCTGCTAATGGGATTTTTCTTATCTATAAAACCAACAATAATAATGATGTTTTACTCATCTGTAACACCTCACATTCAAGGAACTCAAAGTACTTCATAAAGATTAAATAAGGTTAGCTTCATAATGCCTGTGTGAGGTAGCCAAGATAATGTTAGTAATCTGCATATTACAGATAAAGAAAATAAGGCCCAGGAAAAATGAGGCCTGGGGAGAGTAAGTGACTTGTCCAAGATCAACCAATAATTCTGTGGCAGAACTGAGAAAAGAAGCAAGAGCATCTGGCTCCTACTGCAGTAAGAATACCCTTATACTGGGAGTTAAGAAGGGGAATTATGCAAGATGCATCTAAAATGGAAGCAAGAGGGCATTTCCAAGCACTGTATTTTTTCAATACAAAGGACATTATAGTTTTCCTTTAAATGGAAGGCATCAATCTTTATAGGCTTCATAATAACAATTTTAAAATAGTTTTTGCCCGAAATCAGGGCAGCTGTATTTACTCTGCCAACGTATCACTTTCAATACCAATTTGTTCATAGCTGTTCCAGATACCATTATATATAAATGAATACTTTTCTCACATTTTTGTCCATTGGCTTCATTTGAATCAGGAGCCTGCAAGATATGGCACCTCCAGGATGTTTCATTCTTCCTATTTACATTCCACATTGTGGCTTATGCCAGCCAAAAAGGCACCAGTGGAGTGCAGAAATGCCATCCCCATAGGAATTAAAAGAAAGCATAACAGGAAGTAAAAGTACTCACCAGCTTGGAGGGGGAGCTGAAACAAGCAGCAGTGAGTTGCCAAATGGCTGCTGTAGGGCTACAGCTGCTTTGCACTCCCAAATTTAAACGGTCACCCACAAAAAGGCATGTAAGGAAAAATGGTTCTATGAGCTCAAAACCTTGCAAAGGGGAGGTAGGTGCGAAGAAGGTGCTGTTTTTGTGTGTCCTGTGGAAGAATTCATCACGGTGCTGCATTAATGGCTCACTCCTAAACAATTTAAGCTTCATTAATGTCAATCTCCCCATATACTTAAATAGCTTGCATTTGCAGTCTTATAACCAGATGTTCTGCTGCACCAGAGTGACCTCACATGATGTTGCTCACTTTTCTATCAGCAGGTGATACCATAAAAAATCCACGTATTGTGGGTACTTTATTAAATAAATCATGCACACTCTTCTAGGGAAGACTGATACTTCAGTCCCTAATACTCAGGCTGCTGCCATTTGAGTTAAAAGAGCCCTGACTCAGCCAGCATTAGCAGCAGATCCCTTTCTAGTCACAAAAGGGTGACAGGAGGTTTCTGTCACTCAAGTGCACATATAAAAATCACATTGCAGAGTGATCATGTGATTTTGTCCAATCCGAAGGTCGATTGGTTGGTTAATAGCTCTTAGCACCAAAACCAACGAGGAAGGCAAAACTACAGGATCTTTCAGTAACAGAATCCAGACTCAGCTTGTACTTAGTAGTCTAAGGGTGTAAATGCTCATAATATGAGAGAGTGTTTTGGTCGGCAGGTTTTGTAGCCCAAATAAATACAGTATTCTTCCTGGAAGGCAAATCACTAGATCAATGCAGTTCTCATTTTGCCATCATGTGCATCATATATGAAAAAGATAAGTCTTTAAAATAACAACAGGACACTGAGATTGTGTTATCAGTTGTAGAATAGAGCATCTGACGAGTGGTGTTTTATCCCTTCCAGAAAGATGTCTTCAAGAAATGAAGTGCTTTTTTTATTTCTCACTCATAGGCAAGGGAACTGATGAGCAAACTGAAGCCAGACAGGCAGTTGGAATAGTTAGTAGGCAGCAGAGAGAGTGAGAAAGAAAAGGGCCCCTTGCACGGGGAGTCATGGGAAAATCCAACCTTGGATTTTCTTGAGGTCCAAAGGGAGCAGATTCCCAGTAAGTCCCATGAACAGCACCTGAAAATATACATTTTCCAGTCAGTTACTAGCTTTACACCAGCTGAGACTACAAAGTAGAAAAATATCCTTGCTTTCGTAAACCACTCAGCGCTGTAAATTCAGGGGATGCAGAGCCAGCATCCTGAGTGATATGGCTGTCTGTAGCCACTGACCTCTGCTCAGCTTCAGAAATCTCCAGTCAGATATCATTAGAAAGGAAACCAATCAGCAGTCAGCCAGATGTTTAAAGAGACAGCCTACCATTCATGCAATCCTCTTTCTGTTGGAGAGGGTGCCAAGATTTTAGAAGAAATTCAGGAAACATTGGAATCCAGTTTGCTAGAACGCTGGACTTTGATGGATTTGAACCAGCTGTTACATTTCTGGCTTGAGCGTGGACAGAAATGGCCTTAATTTTCTTGGGCAGACTTGCATTTTGTTGCCAATCTTTTACTCCCATAATCCACTGCCAGTTTAGTCCCAGCATTATCATGCACCATACTGCACACAGGATTTGTTGGAAGGTCAATTAATATATTCCATGTTCAGTAGCTCATTTTAAAGCACATGCCTGTCCTGCAGATGTGAGAACCCAACTGCTTTTCCCTTCCAGTCATAGGTGGTATTTAGATATCTTAAGTACTTATATGGTTGCCATTAGCAGAACATCTTAATTCTCCATAGTCTCTAGTGTATTGTGCTTCATTCTGCTTCTCACAACACCCTCATGAAACAGGGCAGTGATAGCATCCCTATTATATGGATGGAGGACAAAAAGTTTAAGGGCTAGATGTTCAATAGCACATTGGTGCCTAACTTCCCAGTAAAATCAGATTATTTTGGAAAGTGCCTAGAAATTTAACTATTTCTAATTTCGGCAGGAGTTAGCAGCCACTTGATTTTACAAATCCTGCTAGGTTTCTATATGCTTGTCCTATAACAACTGATTTAACCTCTGTGATGAAACAGGGGCCTGGAGTATCCAAGCAGCAGGTGAGGACACTAACTATAGGTCTCTCTTTCCTTGGCCTTGGCCTTTTCTTGTAGAAATTACTATATATTTTCCAAGTGACCTTCAGAAGAAAAAGGAGAAGATATTTTTCCTAGTGGCCCACAGTTAGGGTACTCTTCTCTTTATGGGATACTTCCTGATCCTTTAATTTCTCCATTTTATCTTTTAACAGTCAACTGAATTACAGCAGGGACATGTAAGGACCTTAAAAATATCAGTCTTGAGCCCTGTTTCTCATCCAAAGAGTTCTATTTTTATGTTCTCTGTGTAAACTATTGCCTTAGGTTACTGGTGAATAGATCTGGGATATAGAGAGAAACTTGCATCTTAGCTCTAAGGAACCTTCCCTAACCCAAATTCTGCTGGTGGCAGTCACATATGGTGTTGACAGAAAAAAAAATCCCAAATCATGGATGGAGAAAAACACTGGTACTGACAGGGAGATCAAACAGCCTCAGGAGAAAGATGAATTATTTCATAATCTTTACAATGAAAGATGGCTGTAACTGCTATAGGAATTGTAGGAGTGTAGTGAGATCTCCTCTATGTGAGTCAGTGGGTGCGTCTACATGAGATGTTTTACTGTGTAGTGGTGCAGTTTACTGCACAGTAAGCGTGCAGTAACTCTTCTCTCATTCAATTCATCAGTTCTTCCCCACTTCGTCGATTCCCTTTTGGATGGACAGTAATCAAGTCCATCAAGGTCCAGGTAATCCATTTCTTATCTGGCCAATCAATTAACAGTCTTAACCTTACACAATATTTCATTCTTCTCGACCCCCTGTAATTCGACAAGTCCAGCAGGAGCCAATTTCCTATTTAAATTCCCTGCGGAAAAGCCCCTCTACTTGTCAGCAACCTACCAGCTAACCTGGCACAGTATCCCTGTAAAGGAACCCTTTGTGATTCTGTCTAACTGGTCCAGGATAGTTCTTCCCTTCTGCTGTGGATTTATGGGCCATCTCTCTTATGAAAGATTTCCAGTCCTCAACCTCCAGTTTCAACTCAATCCTAATCCACCAGTCCAGCTTCTAATGTTAGTCCCACACCTCCACACAGCTTGACAAGATCTGCTTTGCTTGTGATCCTCTCTCTAGGGAGTTCTCTGTGGGGCCTGTGAAGTCTTATCTTCTAGCCAGGCTCCTCCTGGCCAATAGAAGATTGCTCAAGGGTCCCATGACCTGGATCCTCTGCACATCAGGCATGGAGGCTGCCATGTCTGCCCCAGACAAGGGCATTTTGGTGCTCTTCTGCGCCACCGGTCCTTCACCTCTTAGCGAGTCTCCCAGCATGCCCAGGTCTGGTGAGGCTCTCCAGACCGTAATAAGGCTCAAGAACACATCTAGGTGGGCACAGGCCTCTCACGTGCCGAGGAACATGTTGATGCCAGCAGCAATGCCCTCCTTGGCTCTAGGCAGCAGGAACACGTAGCACAACCACAGGTAGCCCTCCAGGTAGCAGTGGAGGTTGTGGGGAAGTTTGGGCTTGCCCACTGCACCGTCAAACCTCAGGGTCCCATGCCAGGTGCACAGGTGCACCCAGGGCACCATGGTCAGCAGCAACAGCAGGGCATAGTGGGTTAGGCACACCTCAGTCTGGGCAAAGCAGCTCCTTGTGCTGCCCCCAGGATATGTGCAACAAGGACATGCTCAGGGTGCAGAATGGCTACAGGGGGCTGGCCCCTGGATGCCATCCCAGAGAGGCCCTCTGCAGGGAGGGCAGGGGCAGGGGCAGCTCTGTGTCCCAGTCATCCAGGAGCCCCGTGTCTCCCAAGCCCAGTCACCATGGGCTTTGTGGCAGCACAGGCAACAGGCTGGCCTACAGGAGGAGAAGGGGGAGGAGTGGGGTCTGGAGCCACAGCAGCAGGTGCTGCAAGGAGCCAGCCCTGTCTCAGCCTGGGAAGGGGGCAGGGGGAGGCAGGCTGCCTGATGCCAGCACCCAGTGGCCTGCCAGCCCCTGGGGAACAAGTGGGAACAGGGGGCTCAGCCAGTGACTACCTGGGCCCAGGCCTGCCCAGCCAAGTTACCATGGTCCCCGGGCACCCGCGCATGCACAACCCCCAATCTAAGGCTGGCAGTGCATGGGCCTCTGGTACAGAGAATCTTATCTCAGAAATGTTGCAAACATTTCTCACAAACAGCTTCTTTCTCATGGCTCTGCAGGCCCTTCAGCTGCATGTGAGAAAAGAGCCATAGTTGGCAGCTGGGATGTGGCCTCAGGGTCGCCACTGCATATGGCTGAATCCCTGTGGATGCGCCAGCTCCACAGGGTTGAGGACCCAGGATCAGAGCCTTCTGTTGAACCGGCTGATGATGGCTGCAGAGGACCGCCTTGCAGATGTGTGGGCATGGCAGATGAAGGACATCGCCCGCAAGGATGCACAGGACCAGGCAGACTGGGAATTCAGGGCAAAGCTCCTGGCCATGCAGTGGGAGCAGGCTGCGCTCATGGCGAGGGAAGTGGAAGCCACGGAGGATGACCGCCAGCTGCTGGACACCATCCTGGCCCTGGCTGTCACCTTCATGCCACCCACTTCCCTGCCCTTGACCATAGCCCGATCTGTCCCCTGGCAGCCAGCCACTGCCCAGTGGCAAGCCACTGCCCAGCAGCAGCACCCCTTTGGGCCTGGGCAGAGATCTAGCACTGCCACCACCAGCCAGAAGCTCCTGCTCTGGCACCCACTCAAGGTCCCCTGCCACCCAGCCCCCCTGCCTTGGCCCAGCCCCACCCTTGCCCTGGCTCCAGGCGGGTGTGGAGCCAGAGCTGCCTGCAGTAGGGCCAGGACCATGCACCAGCCTTGCAGGCCCTGACCACTGGCTGCCAGAGGGGGAACCACCTACACCAGGGGGCCAGCAGCCACCATTGCCCTTGACCAAGCCCCCCACCTGCCAGGCTCTCTGAAGCATG